CCCCCCCCCTCGCTGTCTCTAATACAGAGTCAGTTTGGGAGGGGGGGAGGAGGGGTTTGTAGTTGATAGGATTAACCAATAAGTACAGGCTTATTGCTTAGTCATTGACTGTACCCAATGTCCCTAATTCTTAGACCATCCCTCTTGAATTTGCTCCTAAAAAATTCCAATGACAGGGATTCCACAAAAAATTAGAGGGAAAACTGGTTATGTCCACGTGTAGAATGACCTTTTATGTGCAACAATATGGAGGTGATGTATGACATGACATAAGTAATTCCACACAGACCGTGTGTGTGGCCGTGGTGCTGACAGGTTGGAGTGCGGGAGAGGGCAGACGGTTAGGGGTGCAGGGTGAGAGCAGTGGCTCCCAGTATGGACTCTGGGCTGGGGCTGGGAATGCGGGATTGGAGGTGTAGGCAGCTCTACGGAGACAGGACTGCCTTCAGACCTCTCACCCCAGCAGCTTGGGGCCAGGTGACAGGTGCCTCTCCACAGCAGCTACAGCTCCACTGGGCACAGCAGGGAGAGAGGTGCCTGTTCTCTCTTCTGTCCCCCACCCCCCCAGCTGGGTCAGGTCTATGCTAGGCTGGGTGGGGACTAGGGATGTTAGCAGCCACCTGGCTAACTGTTTAATAGGTAAGTGCTTGCTTATTGGTTAATGGTCCCAGTTCTTTTTTCTAAGTATCAAAACTCAAGGCTACTGTTACCTTTAGCTCTCTATACAGCACTAATTAGAGTTATGGGGGAGGAAAGTTGTATTCAGTATATTGTTGTAGAGATCACTTGTTGGCATTACTGGGAAATGGTTTTGCTAGCTGCTCCTTCAGTGTCTGTGTAGAGGATTTTTTTTTCCAACCTTGAAATAAACAGAGTTTACTTGCCCAGGTGTTTGTTAATGCTTTGCTTTTCTTCTCATAGGTTTTCAATGAAATTTATCCAGTATGGACTTACTCTTATTTGGTGTTGCTGTTTCCTGTGTTCCTTGCAACAGACTATCTCAGGTACAAACCTGTAATCCTTCTCCAGGGACTGAGCCTTATAGTGACATGGTTCATGCTGCTCTACGCCCAAGGATTGCTAGCTATTCAGTTCCTCGAGTTCTTCTATGGATTAGTGACTGCTACGGAGATTGCCTATTATTCCTACATCTATAGCATTGTGGACTTGAACATGTACCAGAAAGTCACCAGCTACTGCCGAAGTGCCACCCTGGTGGGTTTTACTGTGGGTTCTATCTGTGGACAGGTTCTGGTGTCAGTTGCCAGTTGGTCACTGTTCAGCTTGAACGTCATCTCTTTGACCTGCGTGTCTGTGGCTTTTGCTACAGCCTGGTTTCTGCCAATGCCACAGAAAAGTCTTTTCTTTCATCACACCTTGAGCAGCCAGGTCATTAGGGAAATGAAAATTATAGACTGTAAAAATGGAGCTGTTGTCCAAGATGATTCTGCCTTAAAGAGGGTCCCTGGGTGGGAAGACATTGAATCAAAAGTTCTCTTAAACAAAGAGGAGCATTCTGCAGAGACACAGGTAAGCTGTGCCGTTGTCTTCCATTTCCTTGGAACATGCTTATTATGGCCATCTTGTATATGTAGAGAACTGTGTGTTTCAATTACCTGATAGTAAAAGGAATCTCTCTTCATCTCCTCACCTATTTGTGGCATGGGAGAGTGCTTTCCTGACTTCCTTTTCATCACTCAGTATTGTCATGTAGTATTCTTGCAGGTATCTGCTCGCTTTAAAATTATCTATAGTACCAAACTTTTTTATAGAGGAAATTCATACATTCTCATTAGGTTATTTCAGAAATGAAATACTCTGCAGGAGGAGGAGGCAGTGAGAACCTAATGGGTGTCCATAGTACAGTGAATGCACCCAATGATATCACACTATAAAGCTTTTAATCACCAGCTCAATAACTGGGTGAAAACAAAACTGAAGATCTAAGAATTGTATTGCAACATGAACTTCCTAAACATTTCATCTGGCCAGGAAGAGATTGTAACAGTGCAAGAAGTTAGTGGTGTGCCCTAAGTTCTGATGCAAATTTGTAGGAATATTTTAAATACAGTTTGAACCTCCTAAATCTGGGACTCTCTTGTCCAGCAACTGCTAGGTTCCAGTAGGATCATGGATATTGCTGGACCAGAGAGCCCCGGTGTCCGGGTGTGTGAGCTGATCAGGAGTCCAGCTGTAGGAGCTCCATCCTGGGGAGCCCCAGTTGGTCATGGCCCAGCGGGGCAGTTGCAGGGCAGGCAGCTATGGAGTCCCGTCCATAGGAAGCCCTGGCTGGGTGTGGCAGTGGCTGGGCAGGCATGGAGCTCCAACTAAGTGGGACAGCCATAGAGCCCCATCCCTGGGAAGCCCCAACCAGGTGGGACAGAAGCAGGGCTGTGGCACCTAGGGAACTCCATCCCTGGAGAGCCCAAGCGAGCTGGTAGAAGTAGGCCAGAGCCAAGCCCCAATCCCAGTAGCAGCAAGGATGGTGCAGAGCCAGCTGAAATTCTTTATAATGAGTAACTATCGATTACAGCAGACACTTGTGTGGGGCAGATATAAGATCAGTAAATGGGAGAGGACTCCTACATAAAGAAGTCTTCAGGAGGAGCTTGAAATGTGATGGAGAGTCAGCACAAGGAAAAGATGTTGGGAGCTACAGAAGAGAGAGCTTTTGCACTGTTACTGGTGATCTTTGTACCACATTCCAGATCCATATCCAGATGAATGAGAGGCTGTGACACTGCTCGCCTTTCAACCTTGGGTGCCTCACAGTGCTTTGCTGTTATAGTACCCAACTTGGGTCACTCACAATCCGTCTGACACCATGCTGGTCATGCCCTGAGTGTCTGTGTACAGCCACAGCCCAGGTCCAGCAGATGCCAGTTTGCATAGGGATCTGGCCTTTTAATTGGCTCCCCTTGTAGACGAGTTCCTGCATGCCACCCTGTGCTACTGCCTAGCAGCATGAGGTGGAAAGGGTCTCCCTGGGAATGGGGCCAGACCACACTGGCTGCTGATCCCACCCACGGGGGCTATCGATCAGTCATGTAACCACTGAAATGTGATGTGGTTAAATGGCATGACTATTCAGTTGCACGATATCTTAACATCCTTAGCAGGAAGCAGAGCACCGTGGCCCTGGTTTGCTCCACTCCCTCGAGTGATGCCAATTTTGGGGGAGCTGAGCGCAGCAAGCTGGAGCTGACCTGTTCTGCCACCCTGCACTAGACCCCTGGTAATCCTCTGGGTCACATAGCTCAGGGGAAAGGGCAGAGATGGGGTGGGGGTGGAGCAGAGGCAGGGCTTAGAGAAGGAGTGGATTGGAGTGTAAGGGGCTGAGCTGGGTCCAGGGGATGTTGACCTGGTCCCATGTTCCTTTAGGGATAGTCCTGTCCCCTAGCAATGACTGGAGAGAGGGCAACAATGTTGGGCTACATTTTTGCTAGAAAGATTTATCCTTTCATAGGCTAATACTGTGAATGAAACCTATTAACATTCCAGGGAATTAATCTTACCCAGTCTGATAGTTTTGCAAGGCCTCTTTACTGAGAGAGCTGGAGAACCCACTGAGCATAGATGCATGGAAGTCTTTTGTTCCTTTTGCTGATTTTTAGTGAGATGGCGTGGGGGAATTCTCAAATGACTCAGATATATAATGGATTGTTAAACAAGTGATTTTTGATTAAGTGTTCCCTGCCTTCTCACTCTCTGGTCTTCAGCCCAAAAATGTGTTAGCATAGTTCTACCTGTATCTGGAGTATTTTTTGACAGTGGCATCAACAATAGGATAGCACTTTCCTTGTCAGCTTCACTGACCATTTCATCTAGCACAGCGGTCCCCAACGTGGTGCCTGCGGGCGCTATGGCGCCCGCCGGGGCATTTATGTTCGCCTGCTAAATGATCTGGGCCGGCCCCTACCCCAGGCGCGTGGGCGGCTGCAGCCCCACCCCCGGGCGCCTGACAACCCCGAAAAGTTGGGGACCACTGATCTAAAAATAGCTGTAAGCAGGGCTCGCTGAACTGCGGCGAGCCCCACTCGCCAGCCATGGTGTCTGGCGATCTGCGCATGTACGGCTCTTCCGGGTTGCAATCTACTTGCTACAGGCAAGTAGATTGTATAATTTGTCGAGCCCTGGCTGTAAGCTCCTTCGAATTCTTGTACTTGGGAGGAAAGAATATATTGAAGCAGTCAAGTGTGAGTGACCTGAGGCAAGGATCCTTTCTTTCACTGCAGTACACTTAACATGCTGAAAATACCCAGTAATAAAAATGTCATTCCATGCCATTTGATTGAAGAGTTTACTGAAAAAAACACACTTAACATGCTGAAAATACCCAGTAATAAAAATGTCATTCCATGCCATTCGATTGAAGAGTTTACTGAAAAAACCAGGTTTTTTGTTTTGTTTTTGTTTTTAACAAGTGCCCTGTAATACAAGAACAAGGAGGCCTTGTTGGAGAATCTGAAATAAAGGTAATTTTCTATTAGATCAATCTCCATCATTTATGGAGTTGAATTACACCAAATATTCTGTGGCTCCATTATTAAAAAAATAAAGCTGAATAACATTGCTCTATTTGCAGTGTTAGGATAATGATTTTGCATGTTAGGATAATGGTAATTGAATCTTAGGCACATAACTTGTTGGCTACAAGGTTCAAGGAAGAATTTTATCTCTCCGTATGTAGCATTACACACTATATGTATGTGGTGGCTTTTTTTTTTAACTTCAAGGTTTCTAGCTTCTGAATGAAAGATGTTAAGAGGAGGGTAATACAATTTGTATCGACTACACAATTAGTCAAAAAGGGGAGGTGCTTAGTAGGAGAGACCCTTGCTGCAGCTTAAATGTAGTAGGAGTTGGGCATGCAGGCAGCCTGGCTCCTCCTACATTTAAACCACAGAGGTGCAGTGGAGGTATGTTCTGGACTGGTGCCAACCAGGACTGAGCCAGGATCTCTGTGGCTTTGTGTTTAAAATGCAGAGCTGCAGTGGTCCCAGACTGGTGTGAGCTGGGCTTTCTCAGTACTGGTGTGATGGCGTGTTGGCCTTGGCTGAGGCAGGGAGAAGCTGCTTCTCTGCAGACAGAGGCTGCTGCTAATGAGTCTTTTAAGCCAACTCCCCCCACCACTGGCTCTTGTTCTCCTCACCCCTTGTTGCCTCTGATAGAGGCAGCAAAGGTGTGGGGGACGCGAGTAGCCATCTTGACTACCCGACAAGCTTTAGGCTTATCAGGTACTTGACTACTTGCTTACATCCCTATTCTGATGCATCTAGTGTCTACCACTATGGACTTGAAGAATCAATGACTGCTTCCTATATATCCAATCGGTTCCCTAGCCATTCTGTACCTAAATCTATGCTATATCTGTAATTCTCTGTTCAGAGAAAGTATAGAAAAAGCTTCTCCTTCTCCTTGTGTTAGAAAATTGTTTGTTTGCACCCATGCAGAGAACAAAGATCTAGGCAATTACTGAACTCACTGCAACCGGCAGAGCACCGTGAAATCATTGCAGAGAGAGTATCTAGTTACTGGAGCTGAGCAGAAACTAGATTGCCCAAGTAGTCTGAAATCTTGCATCTGTATTAGGGATGTTAAGGACTAGTGGACTATCCTGTAAGCAAATGCTTATCGGATAGTCTGTCGACTAGTCGATTTCCTCCCTCCCCTTACTGCCTCTGATATAGAGGCAGAAAAGGGGAGGAGGAAAGGGTACTTTAAAGTGGCAGCACCATGCAGCTGAGCCAGCGATCAGATGTGCGGTACTGCTGCTTTGAAACCCCAAGGTGGCGTTTCAGAGGGGTAGCTATTGCACAGCTCTACATGGCTCAGCTGTGTGGCCGCTGCCCCTTTAAAATGCTGAAGCACCATGGAGCTTGAGGTCAGCTGGGGACTAATTTTTATGCTGCTATTCACATAAAGCAGTAGGAAGTATAATTCCACTTTAGATACTAATCAGCCTTTGTGATGGATAATTATAATTTAATCTTTTCCCTCCCTCCCTCAGACAAACACTTACAAAAAATCTCTTTGAAACTTCTCCACCCAACCTACTTGGGAAAACTTCTGTGGTTGCTCCACAGATTTTAAACTCTTACTTGGTCTCTGGCACAAATCTAGGTAAAATGATTTGAAGCTGTTTTGTTCTCTGGCCTATGTGAAATAATTTGGCCTCTACTAAGTTCTTAGAGAATAGGCTGGAGAAATCCATCTCTTTGCCACCACAGGAAGCAGTAAATTAGCCCTTTTGAATAGCAGTTCCTAACTGCCAGTCTGCAGCCCAGTGCCAGGCTACAAATTGGTCTCTGGCACAAATCTAGGTAAAATGATTTGAAGCTGTTTTGTTCTCTGGCCTATGTGAAATAATTTGGCCTCTACTAAGTTCTTAGAGAATAGGCTGGAGAAATCCATCTCTTTGCCACCACAGGAAGCAGTAAATTAGCCCTTTTGAATAGCAGTTCCTAACTGCCAGTCTGCAGCCCAGTGCCAGGCTACAAACCCGCTGGGCTATGGTGGCTCTGGGGTTGGGGCTGGGGACACTACC